TCCACTGCCACCCTCCTTTTAAAGCAACAGCTGCCCATTCATGGGACTGTGCAAACACCTGGGCTTCTTGGCTGCATGCGTGCACGCGTACGTGTGTGTGTGTGTGTGTGTGTGTGAGTGTCTGAGAGAAAGAGGGCATATTTTATGAGTTTTGCGAATATAAGGCCATAGTCAGCCTTACAAGATGCCACGAGAGGCAGAAGTTAGTAAATATAGAGAATGGAGCAAAATAGGATTGTGTCAGACCTGAGATTTCACTGAACTCACTGAAAACAAGACGGACATGGTTTTGTCTAAAAGATGTTTAAAGCCTTATCCCAATAGTTGTATCTGTAGCACGTGGAGTACAGACTTGGGAGGGCAGGTGAGGCTTGCTTTGAGTCTTGTGAGCAGCTGGGTGATCTTGCACAAGACTTTTAACCTAATGCAAAGCTGTATCATCTGTAAAATGGAGACGAAGTATCTACCTCAGGGGATGCTTGGAAGGATTAAATAAAACTGTGTCCATTGGATTAGTGCAAGGTCATAAAAAAACAATATTAGCTCTATTATATGTTGGCTTGCTGTTAGGCTAATTTATTCTTTCTAACGTTCTGGTTGTTATAATGTTATAAAATGGTTGTTACAGAATAAAATTTCCAATTCTTGAGGAACAGGGCAATTAGAATTTCTTACTGTGTCATCTGAAGAGGAAAACATTCTCCTTAGGAAAACATACCCGCTTCTAGTTTCTTTTACCTGTAGGGTAGCCATAATGCAACTCTTCAGTATATTGTTTTGTATCATACACTGACTCAAGCACTCTACTAAAACTCACAATGAATTTTAAAAAGAGTAATATGAATATAAAATTACTAAGTCCAACATAGCATGGTTTCTTATTGTTTTGCATTTATTTTGTAGAACATGGAACTCAATATAGCCAGTTCCCATTAGTTTTTCAGTGGCAACCCAGGGAGCTCTAGCCATCAATTACCTTACTCAAATGGAAGATGGATAAATGATCTTGCTTTTCAGACCCTCAAAGCAATGTCGATTTGGCAAGGAGTAGGAGTTACCATTTTAAAACAATATATTTTTCAGGCATGACACATTTTTTATTTCAATTTTTAAATTGTCTTCCAGGTTGTAGGAAAATGTAATGACATTTTTCTGGAAGATGTTTTGAAGTTTAATTAAAATGCAGTTTTAAAACATATCCCTTGTGCTTTGCACTTGTAAATATGAGCATATCAGGAACTTACACAGAGATGTGAATGTTCTCATCCCGATGTTGGGTAGCTCTGGTTGGGAACTGTGTACATTAATCTTTTGACAAAATAGCAGTGTGCCTCTTTTGCACAACTGGGCCCTGTGGGTAACTTCTGTGCAGTGTATTCATAGGAAGAAAACCTGATATTTTAAATTCTCCTCCCTTCCTCTGGGAGGTCGCTGTGTACTCAACAAAAAACCCTTGCTTCTTGTACTTACAGAACTCAAAAAGTTCCTATTAAACCAGAGGCTGCAAAACAAAGGGCACTCTGGTGAAAAGTTGACAACTTAGAGCAGTTATTCGCCAAGCTTCTTGTTACCGGAATAAGAAAATGGCATGACATAGGAGTCTGAAATACTCAAAACTCTGATCCATCTCCTAAATGTCCTGGGAGACATTTTGCTCGACTCTGCTTTTCAGTTGATTCATTCAGAAACTGAAATAACTTTTAAATTTTGCTCAATGAGTATTTATTGAACACCTGCTGTGTACTCCTCCTATTATTTGGTATTAGGTGGTATATATTGAAAGATAAGGTTCCTATCCTTAAGAAGCTCATAAAGAATTAGGGAAGTATCATTGGTAACTTGGAAGGTATAGTACTTCTCTTTAGGACTTAACCCCATGGCACATGACAATATAATTCATTGAAGTAATGTATTTAGCCTTTGGAAACTTAATGGCTACTAGTATTTAATACTTCCTCTGGAATGTTCAATTGAGTCCTTAGGGTAGCTCACCATGAGCAGCATTTTGCTAACTATATAACAGAATCTTTAGTAATGGTCTTGTTCTTAACACCTGATGGGTTATTAAATAAAGGGAAGTGGCAAACATTTGTGATTGGAATGTCTTTTACCCTTTATTTGAAGAAGGAATGGTGGCTCTGCTGGGAACACTTAGAACTCTCAATACAAGTGTGTAATATTTACAGAAGATGAACCCTCTCTCAGCTTCAACATATTCCTTCTGTCCATAGCTGGTTGTGTTTTTCTGTGGACTTTGTGGTCAAAGGGGAAAATAGCAGTTAAACTGTAAGATACTCTAGAATTAAACCAAGATTATCCTCAAGTTAACACTCTGTGATGGTGTACGTATTTTAGGATTTCTTACAAAAAGCATTAACTTGTGTTCTTCAAGCACTAATGGGGACCTATTAAACCATATTTCAGTATTTAATTAATGGATTACAAGATACAATTGAAGTTCTACTTTGTTTTTGTTGGGTCCATTAGTGTTTGGCTAGAAAGAGCTTTTTGAATTTTAAAATTGACTCCCTTTGTTCTTGCTTGGTAAATAAAGTTAAATGCTTGATTTGCTCAACTGGTACTCAGAATAGGTAACAGAAAATTACCATCAAGATATATGATTATGCTGTCTCTGAAGACAAGTGTCTTTCTCAGATTGGTGCTGCCTGCATTCCAAACTAATTTTTATAATGAGTAAGGGAGATGCCAATATTCACTTTATTTCAGGACAGGAAACACCTGGGTAGGTCAGTCAGTTAAGGGTCTGGCTTTTGGTCCCAGCTCAGGTCTTGATCTCAGTGTTATGAGTTCAAGCCCCACATTGGGCTCTGCAATGGGTGTGGAGCCTACTTTCAGGACCAATAATTGACATTACTGGACTTTGATTCATAATTTAATGTAGCAACAAACTTAATGTTCCCCTTAATGGTTGTGTTGTAAACACAAACCTTTAGAACACCCCTGTTTTACAACAATGGATAATATAAGAGGAGAAGAATACGGGCTCCACTATCACTTCTTGTCAACAGTTGGACTCCATAATGTCCATGACTATATCTTAGGTGTCTAATTCAATACCAAATTTGTCTGAATTAAATTGGAGGAAGTTAACACTGAATTAGTGGATTAAGTTTTCTTAATTCTAGAATATTCAGTCCAACTCACCCTTGTTTAAATTGTTATTGCTTTATAAACATAACTTAAGTCAAAGCTGAGCCATATTCACTGAGACTGTAATTTGCTAAGAGTTTATTTATATTTAAACACTTATTATCTTAAATTATATATTTCAGTTTTTCTTTTGTAGAGAATGACAATGTCATTTTAAAAAATCACCATTTGTTCTTAAAAGACTCTTTTTGCTTCCTTCATCTTCCCACTCATCCTTTATCCTATGATTTTAGTCTTTATCATTGCTAGAAGGCCTAGGTATGACTCTAAAGGCAAAAATTGTATTAATAATGCTTTAGTGAGACTTGATAACCATAAATTCTCAAGTTCCCTCTTCCCCCTTTGCTTTTCAGGAAGCAGTTATTTGTGAAGAAAAACTTCAAGATGACCTGAATCTAATACTTTCTTCCCTTAATATTCAAGTATTTACCAAACCAGAATTTAAAAAAACATATTTTTCATGTGAAAATTGTTGATGGATTTGGTGTAATCTTAAGCTTTAGAGTTTTAAATGGAGTTCCATAAAATGTGGTCATATCTGTTGTTATGGCACTCCATGCTAGTTGCATTATACAGGTTTAGTGTATTTGCCTTCAATTTTATCCATATCCAACAAATTCATGTGTGAAGCTAAGCACAAATCCTAGATTTTGCTTATTAACATAGGTTCACATTTCTTACAAAAAAAAAAATAGTAGGATGGGCCCTGGTTTGAAGGCTTGGGGACTCAGTGAAAATATGAGTAAGTTCAATCTTTGAATATTTGAACATCCTAGAAACATTATACCAATCACCTACAGCTCAGACCAATGTCTCTTTATGTGTGTATATTTCCTTTTTAAAATGTTCATAGAATTTTGGACCATTGAAGTTTCTTGAATGCAGCATTTAGTTGTTTCTTATAAATGTGTGTATCTATCTACCCACTAGAATGAGAGAGTCTTGAGGGCGTTACAATATTTCACTTCTTGTGCATCTTCCAAACATCTAATAGGTATCTAACAGGATTGGGAGCATAAACAGAATACTTCCTAAATGTGTGCTTGCTTGATACATAGACTTTTTGTTTTGTTGTGTTGTTTTACTGATGAGTCGTAAGCTGCAGAGAGTTAAAGAAAAAATTTTGTAGAGGGAAAGATGTTTGTTTTCATCCGAACATAGAAGGAGGAACAAGTAGGATGACGCTCAGTGGAAATGGGATTTCATATGGGGTTACACCATGCTGTTGGTGACCAAAGTCCCCAGAGCTGTGAGTGATACAACAGGAGAGCAGTCTTCCTCAGTGAAGGATTTTTTTTCCCCCCAAGTTGTCACATAACTCCAGGGACTCCGTCCCTTTCCCTTTCTCTGGTAAAATCCTCAAGTAGCCCTTTTATGCTTATTGTTGTTACCAGTAAGAGCAAGCTCTTTCAAAATCAGCTTTACATTGGTGAAAATTACCCCAGCCTTAAAGTTCCTAATCTGCCTCTCTCCCTTTTTTCAGCTTGGACTGACTCTCTGGACTGAGTTTCTTTAATCTTTTATCCTGACTTCTCTGCTTTTTTTTTTTTCCTGCCCTCTCCCATCTTCACTTCAAACTGGACATACTTCATAAAAGATGTCTAGATAGTTCAGTCATTCTATTGAATCAAACTTAAATATTGGACGAAATACATTGTGAGTGTTTTTTAACTAAAAGCTAATGTGAAAATGTTGGAATATGTACCAATATAAACATATTATACTTAAGACCATATTTAAATACAGTTAAAAAATTACATCATGTTCCTTCTAGTAGAAATCTTAAAGGGTATACATAATTCACCTTCTGAGTCATGATGTAATTTAGATTATATTTTATTAGACATTCTTTACAAATTTAAAATACTGCTATTTTTACATGCACAGAGGAAAATCAGTTTGGATAATTATATTTAGGCATTATTAAAATCAACCACAAAATAAAGACACTTTATTGTGTCATTTATCAACATACTTGATATGTATACCTAAAGTGCATTATGTTACAAAAAATAGAGAAATTCAGCAGCACCAAGATACATTTACAAAATAAATACATCAGTTGACAAAATAAATTATGGTAAATGTGATAATAATAATTGGATTAGCCTTGGCAAAAAAAAAATATTCACAATGACCAATGTGCAGTTTCATAGAGCAATGGGGAAGACAGTTTTATTCCAATGCATTTACAGTATTTACAGACAATAAATATTTCTAATACTTTCCATATGTTCACTATTACAGAATCCTGTAATACGTCCTTTGAAGGTCTTTGCTAAAAATTTCAATGCCTCCTGAAAAGAGAAGGAAGGGAAAGAAGAGGAGAAAATAGGTTAATTTACCCTAACAAATGAAAAGGCATAAAAAATAAACATACAATTACAACGGTAAAGATTCCAGGGATTTCTTGTAAATATTCCCAAAAAGAGGTATCAATGGGCTCCACCTGACTCTCCAGAACCTTTGCTATAGGCAGGGTCTTCAATATGATCAAATGATCAATGCGGTGCAGGAAGAGAAAGGGCCTGCATTTCTAATTCTATATTTCTGTCTGAAGGAGGCCCTGGGAGAATTTTCCAAAGCTGCCAATTGGCAAGTCTGGGAAGAGAAGGGATACATTTGAGAGTCTGGGAATAAGGCTAGGTTGTACAATCCATCATCAAATACACCTTGCTAGAAGTTTATTCCTCAGAGATCCCTGATGAAGGTGATCCAAAGGTTGCTTATTCTGTTCAGGTTTCCATTTGGCCAATCTTTCACTAAGATAATGGCTTTTAGGACAGTAGAGTGTGTGGCTTGGAGTAAATATTGGAAAGATGCATAATTAAGCCGTATGTTTGGTTGATGATTTGTTGATATCAACCATTCCATTAGCTGTCCTTAAACAGTAATGAATGAAACTATTTTTGGATTTTAGTTTTTGGAGTCAAAACTAAGAATTAATTTGTCTCTCGCTCTGCTGGTTTTTGGAACTGATCTGGAATTAGAAATTGAGAAAGCCCATCTTAAATTAGAGAATAAGAATCAATTGATTTAACATTTAAAACAGCAGTATTTATTATGCAGAATAAATTACCATATGGGATTGACACCTTTTCTAACCCTTTCTAAAAACACTATAGTGACAGTATTTTAAGATAGGCTAAGAGCATTTTTCTCTGCTTCTCTCTCTGCCTTTCTCTTCTCTTGTGTCGTCTATTTTAGTGGTTTCTAGGGAAGCAACTATAGAATGGAACTCAATTGGCTGTGCCATTGCATTAATAGCCAGTGTGTAGGCAGAGTTTTGGATGGCAGACCCATATGGGAGTGAGACCTACAGAAGAGACAGCTCTTGACAAGTTAGGAACTTTATGTGCAGCTTGAAGAAAGAAAAACAAGCTGAACATTTAGGGGATTTTAATGTCTTAAGAAATGTCCTCTTCACCAATAGTTTTGATTGGAATGGCAAAATAGCTCCTAATTACAGAGAAAATAATTTCAGATTAAAAATTTTAATGGTGGATAGATGTGGATGTCTGTTACCAATAAAATCCAAAAGACCATAAAACTCAATAATTTGTGTGCTGTATCAATTTTAAAATGTTCTTATACTGAGCAGCATCTAATGAATTGAATTTAAGAATAATGTAAGCAGGGAGGGAATGAAGAGTATTTTGAACAATTATTTCCTCATAAGGAAAGAAAGAGAAAAGGAATAAAAGACCAAGGAAAAGATCTTTTAATTATATTTCCCCTTGTCCAGCCAGTTTGCTTGTTAAAATGGCACATTTTGGAACAGCCAAGCAAAACATATAACATGACCTGAAAATATATGTGTATATTTTGTGTGTGTGTGTGTGTATGAAAGCACTTGAGAGTCTCTTTTGAATATTTAAAAGCTTTTGTATTATTTCTAAGTCAGTATTTATGAAGGCAAAATATATGGTAACTAAATAAGTCCTACTGTATCTGGACATCTCATTTGCAACATCAAAAATTCCAAAACGTAGTTTCCAACATTTAAACTATATATTCCCCACTGGTTCATGTCAGAGGAGCCAGTGTTAGCTGAATAATTTCTCTTAAGAAATACTACATATAAGAAATACTACATACATGCTTGCCATATCATCAGACCTCAGATCACTGTATAAGAATGCAAAGAGACTAAAGAGAGGACACTAATAAAAGACTGTTTGCTTACAAAACTTTAAAGTAGTTATTCTGAAAAGATTCTCTTTGGATTAGAACATTTGCATGGCCCCATATATTCTCATCAGTACACTCCTAAATTTCCCCGATCTTCTCTGCACCTCTCTTGGGTTGTACTGGGAGAGTGCCAACATCCGGCTGCCAAACAAACAGTGCTTTCCATGAATGTCCCTCACAACCAGGGAACAGAAAGGAGAAAGTAGAAACATTCTATTTCTTTCAGTCCTGGGTCTGGATTTGATTAGGCCACTGCCTAATTTTTACTAGATCTCCTTTAACTTAGGGTAGCTTTGGGCATAAGAACTGATGAGTGCTGAATTTCATTAAATTCCCAGATACTTCTAAGCATTGCAAATCCTAAATAAATGAAATCCGTAAAAAAAAAATTATACTTTTGTTTTTAGAACTCTAACATATGTATGTACACACACCAAGAGTAAGACAATGGATAAAAATAGGTTCTGACAATAAAGCCCTCGCATTAGGAATAAATATGTACAGTTAAGATCCTATCTCAGAATACATTGAATATGTGCTTTGAGCCAAGATTTATAGAGTTCTTTACCCATGATAGATCCATTAAGTATTTGGAGAATAGGTCATTCACTCTGCTAAAGGTTTCTCTAGTTTTATTATTCCTTAGTTACTGAAGCGGAAATATTTGTCCAATATAATTAGCATTTTATATGCTATTTAATGATGAGTTTTGTCAACCTAACTCAAAGAGTGAAGTGATGGTACATAGGTTCAAACTCCCCTTTGAAACATCACTCCGTAATCCTATCTCTACTAGTCAGAGGAAAGGCCTGCAGAAGTAACAAGGGACTCTAATTAACGAGATCATTAGCTGCATATGACATGTCCTTGTGTGGTTTCCTCTTTCAAATCCCCAGGAGAGCTAGGCTGAAAGGTAAAAACCAAGAAAAGATCCTGTTGGTGGCAATGCCCGAACCAAGTTAAATATAATTAAATGAAAAATGTGACCGACTCAGAATTGTCTATGGTATGGTATTGTTCTGTAGTGTTCATAGATCATTTCAAAGACTTCTGTGTTTGCCCCTGAAGTGAAAAAAAGTAAAAAATGAGAAAACGATCCAGAAAGTTTGCCAAGGTGTGAGAGTAAGGGAATAAATACACTTCGCCAGCAATTGATGAAGGTGGTCCCTGGCTTCTGAAGCCTGACTAAGAAGAGAAATTCTTTAGTAGAGTAGTTAAGGACTGGTATTGGGGTTGTGATGGTGGACGAAGAGAAACAGGTTATCCAACCCCTGTTTGCATTTAAGGGGTGGGAGGACACTGCTTGAAGGCACATGATATTCTGAACCATCTTGCTTTTGTAAGCTTTTAAATTGTGGAGCGATTGATGGAGGGACAGGAAGGGAGGACATTCTAGGTTTGTCCAAGCCTATGGACATGGTGGAAGGGACACTAACACACCCCAGCTGAGAGCACCAAGGAAAGGCTATGAGGCATAGAAGCCAGTTACCGTAAATTGAGCTCCAGCGATGTCGCTGAGATGTCATATGGGTGGTCGCCTTCTAGCCCACTTCCAGCCACGCCAGAGCTTAGCCAGGCAGACCGAGTTCGACGTTTCTTTTTTTCCTGCTCCTTGCGTTTTCCGGGTTTGCCTTTCTTTTTCTTGCCAGGTGTCTTCAGTGGCTGCTCCTTGTATGTCTCCACCTTGTTGGTTTCCTGAGTTAGGTATCTGCCCTCATCATCAGACCCAAATCGGACGGGGTGGTTCTTTGTGTTGGGAGCAGGCTTGGAGTTGGGGGAAACCTCCGAGGTAGCTCTGATTTCTGCTGTGTGGATTTCTGCAATCAGGTGGTGAAGGAAGAATCGTCGCCGTAAGTCTTGGATAGATTTCCCCTTGTCATGAAGGAGCTGATGTTCAGACACAGCTCTTTTGCTTTAAGAAAAAAAGGCAGGAGAGGAAGAAAAGAATATTTTAGTTGTTGGTATAAACCTCAAAGACAAGAGGAAAGGCCTTTAGTTTTCTAGTTGGTCCTATACAGAGTGTAAGCTGGAAGGGCAGCAAGCTTGTGGAGCGGGGATAGAGCAGGGTGGGAAGGGAGTGTGGGCACTTAGGAGTCTGCAGCCCCAAATCTCATTTATGCTACTCTATCTAGATCTGTGACTTTGCTGAGAACATCAGCCTCTCCACTGAAAAGGAAGGAGTCAGATTCAGAGATTTCTAGGCTCTCTTCTCAACTGAAAACATTATGATTCAGTTATTCTCAGCAATGGACAGAAACCACTAAACTTATTTTCACATTTTTCAGACTTGTGTTGGGAAAATAAATCCAGAAGTCCCAGCTTGTGAAATTAAAAGGAGGGTGAATTTACCTGACTACTCACCCAGGCACATGCACCACACACACACACACACACACACACACACACACACACACACACACGCACTCTGCTCCCCTAACAAGATGCCAATAGTACTGAAACTCAAAGAACTGCAAGCTGTAAAAGTAAAAAAAAAACAAAGGCTGAGGATGACGTGAGCAGTAAAGCCTGTCGAGGGAACTATCTAACAGACTGAATTTTAATATGATAGACTACAGGCTACCAAGGACCTACATTTGAAAGCCAAGTGTCAGAGAGAGACAGAGTATGTGTATTTTTCTGTAAAGTAGTGGGTGGTGTCTTTAAAACGGTTTTCTCTGTGTTTAAATTGAGATGATTCTATTTCTCCCATGCATCAAGTTATTTTTAAGTTCAGAATTTCAGAGGGTATTATCCTTAATTGAGACATTCACTTTTCTACTTGTTCTCTTTGTCCTAAAAAACATCTCTAGGAACAAGTATGAAGTGACTTTTCTGTTTCTTTTTTTATTTTTTAAAAGATTTTATTTATTTATTCATGAGAGAAACACACACACACACACACACACACACAGAGAGGCAGAGACACAGGCAGAGGGAGAAGCAGGCTCCATGCAGGGAGCCCGACATGTGACTCGATCCCAGGACTCCAAGATCACACCCTGGGCCAAAGGCAGGCACTAAACCACTGAGCCACCCAGGGATTCCCCGACTTTTCTGTTTAAACAACACTTTAATGAAAATATAGTGTAAAAGAATAAACTCATCTCCCATCAATCCATTCAGATGGCAGCCTGACTCTTGTTTAAATGTCCATCCACATTATTCTCCACATATATGATGAACCATATGTAGGGGTCACATACATTAATGAGTCATATCATGCCCTGCTTCAACCCCAACTTACCTTACTCCCATTTCTACCACTGTGTAACTCTTCAGAGTGCTTCATTTTCAAGTGTCTCAGGGTACCTCCCAGGGCTATCTCCCATGTATTCCTACCTCTCTGACACACCATCGCTGGGTCCCTTATTTGCCTTCATTAGTACAGCTTTTTTAACTCCTCAGAGAAAAAGAACGATACAAATGGCATTATCTTCATTTTATAGGTAGGGAAGTTGAGGTTCAGAGAGATTAAATGACTTGCTCTTGCCCACAAAATGAGAACAGATAGAACCAAGCATCTAAAAACCAGGTCCCCTGATTCGGAAGCCAGAGATTGCCTTTCAACTACCTCAACCCTTTCTCCTATAGAAGCAGAAGTATATGTTGAGGAAACCAAGAAGTGAAGGGCATAGAGTAAAAAGCCTGAGGTGGAAACCCTGACAGTGGGCAAATGGTAGCAATGTATCAGATTCCTTGAAGGTCAAGCTTACTGCTCCAAGAAGTCCATTTTTTCATCCCCCCAAGTAAGGAACTAGGATTGCTAGAGTTTGGATGATCCCTGGGGAAATTGAGAGATTTCTTAGGTGTACTGTGAACCAAAGAGGAGTAAGACATGAAAATACCGGCATTACTTCTCTAGACCCGATAGCCAGTATACCAGCTTCCTTTTAGTATTTTGGTGTGTGGACCAACTTTAAGCCATGCAGCTTGTTCAAAAAAGACATGACTTAATGGAAAGGAATTTAACAGGAGCCTGGTTTAAATGAGGCATGAAGGAGTCTCTCTTCCTTTTTGAAGGTGCCATATGTGACTAGATTAAAATTCACTTAGTTTATGGTAACAGCTAGTATTCTGGAAACTTTTAATAATATACAAATTTGAGGTTTGGGCACAATATAGTTATACTCTCTAGTAACATTTTTAAAGAATAGGACTGAATTAATTGCATATTTCCTAAGTATTGCAGTTGAATAAGTACCTTTTAGGAAAGCGTCAATTAAAAGAAGTTCTTAACTAGTGATCATTTATAGTATCTGGGGGTTTTTATTTCTTTCTCAATTCCTGGCAGATAACCACCCCATTTGTATTGCTCTCCAAATGTATAATACAGCTCATTCTAGCTTAACCCCAAAGCCAAAAGTTTTAATGGTCGGTCTGTCCTAATCAGGCCACCACTGCTTATGCCCCCTCTGCCTGGCATATACGCCTGTCATCTTGGCCAGCCTGTCAACTGTGAGTCACAGTGCCTTCTTAACCCAAGCACTGCACTTTCCCAGGATGGTTCTCATGAGAAAAGGAATGATCATTCTATCCTTCTGTTTTATAAAAAGTCTACAAAGATGGTACAACTCTGTCCAGTTTAAAATAGCATTTCTCTTGTGAGGTACAAAGCTTCTTTCTGCCTTTTAGGGGTAATTGTTGACATAATATTAGAAAACACAGATTTCCTTAACGCTAAATCTGAAATGCTGTTAACACTACGAACGGTTCAAAGATGTCTGCATTTAAAATATTGTGAAGAATGGATTTCTGACTGGGCAACTGAATTGGAAGGTCAGGAATATAATCCTATCTTTATCATCAACAAGGAATAAGATCCATAGAGCATTTTATTTATTTTCAAAATATGACATGAACTGACACCAGGGTAAATAACTAGCATGCACAAACTGATATACATAGGTGAGGAGCAATGAATCCAAATTAAGGAGGCTTTCAACTTAGAGAAGTCTGAAATATTTAAGTTGTATATACAGCCTCAATAACAGTCTATTATTCTATTCTCCTGCAAATATCCCATAGCACAGTGGTTCGCATGGCATTTGTTACAATCCTAATATGGTATTTTATGGCCTGTGATTATTGTAAAAAAAATTTTCAGAAATATGGGGGAAATGCTTAATACTGATAACTATGGATTCAGTCAAAATGTAGCTCTTCTGCTCTAAAGAAAAATCATCCTCAAGGAAGTTTTCAGGGAGGAGAGTCGATTCAAGGAGCTATCAAGGAACGCAGGGAGTAAAGGGAATGATGGAACTGCCTCTTCCAACACGGGAAAGAGCAGCATGCTTGTGCTGATGCTCAGCTACTTAGGAAGGAGTCTGGGTTTGCGAAGAAAAGTTCTGTGGTACATGCGCAGGTCAGGGTTCGGGTGTTAGAGTGAAGATGACTCACCACAAGTCCCTTCCAACCCAAATGACTCAGTCAGAAGTAATGCTTTTCATTAAATGGAATAGACCCAGTCTGGCTCCTAAGCAAATCAGCCAATTATGCTTTTGGTTTCTGAATCTGCGGGAATTCCCTATCTAACTTAAACACAAAGGTTGCTACCTGCCAAAAGGGGGACAGAATTGGGACAAGAATATCTGTAGACCTCACTCTCCAACCTCCAATTTATTCACACTCTAGCTCCACTAATTAAAATCTTCTGGACTATCACAACTTATAATTGCTTCCTTGGGTGGCTTAGGAAGCATTATTGTTGTAGTGGTCCTCTTCCCTGCTCCCTAAAGTCAGGGCCTCCTTAGAAAAACATCTAAAGCAATTTCCCCAATCCTTGGTGTGAAAAGTAATTGGGGTGTAATATGTTTGATTATATGTTAATATTTCTTTCAAGAAATTAGGTTGATTTCATGTAACAGTAGACTAATATTTTGTCTAGCACACAGAATTTACTGTTACTTGGCAGCAATGCAAAAATAATGACTTGTTTTTTTAAACTCCATGTGGCTGTGATAATTTGATGAAACATCTTCATCTACTGATGATTTCAGCCTTCATGAAAAACCATGGCTGTAATATGATGATCTATTAGCCATTAACTATAAGAATGTTTTGTGGTAGTTTATAACCATCTGCTGAGTGTGAGTGTTTAACTACAATATTATATTTCACCCACAAACAAAACTGTAACAGAGTCTCTGGCTGTTAAACGGTTTCTGATGTGTATTTTGCAAGGTGCAACAAAGAAAGAGTTAAAAATAGCCTTTAGGACAACTTAGCACTATTTTTATGTCATAACTGTGGATTTAATCATGGTCCATTTACTGTTTCTCAAAAGAGAAAACAGGTATTTCTCAAGCCACTGTAAAGAAAGAACTGGCTCAGTTCCAAGACACTGTTTCTTGGCCAGTATTTAGGCGTGCTTTTAAAAATTCACTCTTCATCTATATTTATATATGGACTTTAAATAATTTAATACAAGTCTCAAAAGGAGCAAAAAGTCTGAAGACAATTTTCAGAAACACATCAGCAAAATGCTGATTTGAAGAATACAATGCAGCTTTACCTTCAGTACAATGTTCTACACAATTTGCCTTAGGAGATTCATAATAGATTTTCATTTTGGTGCCAAGGTTCAGACACGTCTAAAGTAATTTCATTTAAGGATTTTCTGCTGTAATAATAATAGACCAAGGGCACATATAAAACAGTTGCCTTTTTGTACACCCTCGGGAATTTACAAGGAAGCACCATGAACTTGATTGTAAATATTGGATATTGCTATTTTTATTGTTGGTGTAAAAGCTCCTTAATTCCTTCTCCAGAGGCAAACTCCTTTCAGTTCTCAAACGTTTATGCTTTTCCCATCCTGAACACTGAGTCTGCAGCTTAAAGATCACCCAAAGATGGCATTTACACACGTTACCGTACTGCTAGGTCCAACAGATTATTAAGATAGTGTTACTCTACTGCTCTTCCAACTTTTCAGTCACACAACATGGTAATATTTCTCTGGTGTGCTTAGATGTATGATTATGTTAAAGTCAAAATTATCCTTAAGAGAACCACCAAACGAGAATGCCAAAATACAAGCTTTCAGTCTACAATGCAAATATTTGACTCCAGATTAAAGAACTGTTAGCAATAATTCCAAGGAAAAAAAAAAAAAACAAGTTTCCACACCCAATATTCATTTTGGAGTCAAGCAGTCCAGCGTTCCTGAACTGTATCAATACTAATGTTGGAGCTGTGCCATTGCAAAGTTGTTACTACTTTATTATATAATATGCCTTCATTATGTAATGTGGTCCATTTTATATGCTTAAAATTATGTCATTCATAATAAAGTCAGATGTAAGGCTTTTGCTTTTCACACACACACACACACAGCCACCCACATTCAGTATGTAAATCAAACGCACACAGATGTAGGTCCCCCCCGGCTCCCTCAGCCTCTTCCGAGTTATCTCCCACTTGTAATCAATCCTCAGGGTTCCCCCAAACCTTCCCAGGTCCTGAAAGTGGAACCTTCCCCTTTTCACTGGAGGCAGATGAGCTTTGTCTAGCGGAGATCTCTGCGCTCCCTCTTATGGAAACTCTTGGGAAATTGGTCTCTCCTGCCTGTCTCCCCTAGAGGTCCGACCAGTTCTCCCGCCAGGGTTGCGGGCACGGTCTCGGCCCCCCGGCAGGTAGCCGGATCTCCCCGCTTTCGGAGTCGGGCAGGGAGCATCCGTGACCGCTGCGAGCCCTCGGCAGCGCCCCAGCCTGGCGGCCTCTCCCACTGGCCTTCCCAGCCCTCACCCGGCGCCCCGGGGAGCGCGGGGGCACTTACAGCCGGCGGCCGAGCTCCTCCACCGAGCGCCCGCAGGAGGGCACCGAGTAGCTCAGCAGGAACACCGCGACGCCCCACTGCTGCACCAGCCTCCGCAGCATCGTCCCCTCTCGCTCGCGGGACCTGCAACAGAGCGAAAGGGCCCGAGGGGTCAGCCCGCAATCCCCATCTCCCCCGGACTACCACGCTCCCCGTTTTAGCTGGCTCTCCAGCAGCCTCTTCAACCCCAAGGGCATCTCCCAAGTTGCAAAGAAAAGAAGAAGAAAAGAAAAAAAAAAAAGAAAAGAAAAGAAAAAGAAAGAAAGAAGGAAAAAAGAGCACACGCAACTTTCTCTGAAGCCTCCCCGCACTTACTTATTTAGGAATCAGCCACTGCAACTGTGCTTTTCCCAAAATCACACAGGCGAAAAGGGACCAAAAGGGGGGGAAAAAAAAGAAAAAGAAAAAAACCAAACCAAAACAAAATCAGAGACGGTCCTCTGAAATAACAACCACAATGAAATGCTTTTATATACGCATCGAGGATGAGCAGCGTGTGGACACGTCTTCCCTAGCAATGTCTCATGAAATCTGGCCGGCAGTTCTCCTGGGTTCGTGGAGCCGAGCTGACCCCTTCCTAAAAAGAGAAGGAGAAGTTTCCCCCTCGGAAGTCAGCTTCTTTGCGAACTAGGCCGTCTTGCTCCAGAGCCACTTGTGGAGACCCACGTATATATACATAGCTGTCTGTCTACCTCCTCTGGTGGGCTGGTTGCTTCCGGAAAGTTGATTCCGCACACCCTGGGAACAAGTCTCAAGTGCGCGTGTCGTCGATCAGGAGGGCCAGGTGGCCAGGAGGGCGGGTTAGCGGCGCGCGCGGGGGAGGCGGCGGCCCGAGCGGCCGGGCAGCGGCGGCCGCGCGTCACGGGCGGGGAGGCATGCCGGCCGGGCGGCGCAGGTTGGAGGCGAGTTGAAAGCCTGGCAGAGGGAGGTTCACACGCTCCCGGGCAAACCTGCCGGAGAAGTGAGCTAGTCGCAAAGAGGTGGCGCCCTTGGAACGCGCGCGGGGCGAGCGAGGGCGCGGGCGCGCGGGGGGCGGGGGCGGCGGCGGCGGCGGCGGCGGCGGCGGGGAGCCCGGGGCTGGGAGTGCGCGGAGCGGCAGAGCTGCCCGGAGGCGCGCCGAGCCCCCCCCCACCCGGTCCACCCCGTCCACCCCCGTCCACCCCCGTCCACCCCGGGGCGCGGGTCCAGCCGCGCCGTCCCGGGGCCGGGGCCGGGGGCGGGGGCGGATCCGCTCGTTCCCGCGGGGACTGCGCGGCGGAGCGGCGAGCGGAGGTCCCCGAGGGCGCGCGGGCGGCCCCGGAGCGGCCCCGGAGCAGCCCCGGCTCCCCGCGCGCCGCAGCGGCCGCGCCCGGCTGGACCCGCGGGCGCCGAGGCCGCCGAGGCCGCCGGGGATCCTCCGCGGGGAGCTCGCGCGCGGTTGACCCGGGGCTTCAAGGAGCCCCGACTCCAACCAGGAGCTCGGGGAGCGAGATGGGAAGCCTCCTCCCCGGCCCTTTCGGGGGACCCGCTGAGTGGGGAGCGTCGGCCAAGGAGTGGGGGTGCAGGAGGGGGCGCGCAGAGCCTAAGCTTAGAAGAGTCACAGAGACTTCAGACTTCAGGTCGGGATTGCATTTCTTGCTGTCTCGGAACAGCCGAGGACGTCTGGAGGTGGTCCCGGGAGCCCCGCGTGCGTGCTGCAGACCCTCCTTGGAATTGCCGAGGGGCGACGCTCCTGGGGCGCGCACGCGGCCCTCGGGCCCACCCGCAGGACTCCAGCCCGCCCGCCCCGGGCAGCCTGCGCTCTCACCCGCAGCCCACCGCGGCCCCCGCCCAGCCCCCTGTTACATATTCTGGGGTGACTCTATCCGCGTCGCCTCAGCCCGCAGATGAAGCGGAACTATCGCTGTGTACGCTGCTCTGCCTCGGAGGAGCGAAGGGAAAGCGGGGGACTCTTCCCAAACTATTGGGCGGGGAAGAAGGACGGCCCCGGATTGCTGGGCAGCAGCATCTGCAGAAAGGACTGCGGCGGCTGTGAACGCCCGCCCCGCGGACTCTTTCTGAAATGAACGCGGGTAGTTGGGAACCACTCAAGGGATGCTTGTCTTCTAGACAGACAACCCCACCGGTACGTTACAGCACTCTCTGGAAGGCTTAGGGAGATTTGAGATGATTTCGGGAGCCTGACCTTTGTCAAGCCTGGCTTCCTGGCGGATGCTCCAGATTTTACCGACGGTGGGTGAAACAGCGCCCTCTCCCTCGCCGGGCTCGGCTCCCTCTCCCCCTCCTTAAGTGCAGATAGTCAGCCAGCAGTTCACATTAGCTGCTTAGTTTGGGTGGGAGTCACCCCTTCTTACAAGCTCCTTTCTTTCTCCCTCATTTGATTACTCTAAACTCCATACTTAAAAAACTTGGCTTCCTCCCACTGGAAAAAAAAAAATCTGGGAATTTCCACAATTCCCTCGTTTAAGAATTTCTAAATGTTAGATCTTTTTGCATGGCATGAAAAGACAAAGTATCAGCGCTCAGAAATGTCAACCTTTGAACCCCTGACGTTTTCTGATTTATAATAATTTCTTTCCAAAAAGAAGCAGGAGCCTTAATGTAACCGTTAGATCTGAAGGAGGAAAAAATCTAGAAAGAAAAAGTAAATCACAAATGAACTATTTAATACTTGCAAGTTGCTTAATATTAAAATGATAATATTTGCTTCCACAGTAAAAAAAAAAAAAAAAAAAAAAAAAAAACAACCTAAAGGTACTTAGCCAAATTTTAAACTACCCAGGCTTTAAAAAGTCAACCCTCTCCCAATAAAAGGTTAAAAGTCAGATCGAAAATATCAAATCACTTAGGCCGTAAATAAATTCATTATAGTCTGAGAACACTATAAATTAAAGACTGGCATCAATAGACTGCTTTGATTTATGTTGCTTTTTCTACTAATGAAACAAAATTGACCCTCCTCTCCCTCCTTTCTTTTCCCCCACACACTCTTCTGGTGTTAATGGCAAAACATCTATCAAATATTTTTAGAATTTCCTCTCCTCCACAAAAAGAGAAAATATAGACACAGGAAAAATAAATAGTCTTTATATACTTGGAATCCTGAAGCTTCCTCATAATGTATTACTTCACCTTTTCCTTGATTTACAGTCCTCTCTTCTCTTCTGGCCAAACGAAGGGGTTCTTCTCAGCAGTCTCTTCCAGAAATTAAAATTTTTTTTTTTTTTGCTTCAAAAGAGTAAAATGAAGTCTTAAATGAATGAAAAACTTCCTAAGGAAGCTTTTCTATTCTCACTAAAGGCAATTATTAGAAAGCAGGTACCTCTTCTAAGCTGCCTTGTTTGTTACTTCAAGCAGAAATTCTCCTCAATATATACTCGGGACCCTGCCTTTCTGCCTTTCTGAAAAGGATATTTTCTGACATCATAATCTCATTCCCAATATAACTGAATAACCTCCATGATAATGCTGAGAACACATGACTACAAATGAGATGACTCCACACTAGGAGGGTTTGGGTTCCCCCCCTCCCCCCCTGGGCTTAGGCTAGAGTGAGTGCCAACAGAGGCTGAATGTCTGCTTAGGCCTTGCTTTCACCTAAATGCACCTTAGCAAATAGGAGGATTTGAAGGCCTGTCTTTAATCTGAAGTATTTCCATGTGAAGACAGGTTAGCATTGTGAGATCTACACCTACACGAATGCCTAGCTCATGAGCAAGCCCCAGACTCCCATCTTCCAGTCCCTCATGGCAGCATTATATGCCAGTTTTAAGAAGAGATTTCTAAATTTTTAAGTTCACCTTTACTCCCCAATTCATGTTAAAATAACCAGTTGATGTATATCTCCAGAGATATTTACTACTGCAATTTAGTAAAACAAAAAACCCCTAACATTTATGTTTCGCTTTTTCATCTCTCTTTTTCCCCCTCCTCAATCCCAACAACCAGCAAATAAATATACTAACCAAAAAGGTACCTAGAGCTCTTTAAGCAGTGCATCTGGGCTCAGAAATTCCCTTATGGCCAATCAGCATCCCTTATCTTATTGCCAATAACATTTGCCAGTAGTTCCAAGGTATTTTTTTTTAAATCCTATGAAACCAAACAACTAAACTCATCCCTTCTCCTAACTTTTTCTGTGTTTACATAGGGAAGTTTGCAAAATTACCTCAAGTAAAATTACCATTTGATTCTGCTAGAATGCGGTCTGAGACTTGAGAGGAGGCTGTTACCAGCTGACCTCAAGGCAGCACAGAGGGGGATGCCATGCCTTTAAATCCCAAGCAGGTTTAGGAAAGGGCGTGTGACTGTAAAATCTCTTCCTAGTTAGATGATAAGCCCTAGAGCCTGTCTTCTCCAGGAACAGGACTGTCTGCTGACATCTGCAGGAACCGCCTCAGGGAGCACTGCCTAGACATGCATCGGGCTGATGGGATTTTCTTATTGGAAAAGTGGGTTTCACACCATCCTCACCCTTCCCTACGTCCTGGGCAATGCTCAGCTTTCCACAAACAGGACCAGGAAGTTCAGCAGTGCGGCACTTTTCTCTGAGACCACAAGCCAACGTGAGCTCAGAAGGTCTTTAGGAGATGGGGGTGTCTAGGGGGCCGTTCACCATGGTCAAGCACGTGTGCACCTCCTAAACCCATGACCATCATAACTCCTCTGAGGAGTCTTCTGGCCAGGGATGGTGCTCCTGTGTGTGTTGGGTGAGGTGGGGGGTGGGGATGGGAGGGAGGTGGGGAGCGGTTAGGAACAGGAGTCCTGATATCCTGGACTGATGCCTGATGGATGCCCTTGGCTGGGCCCAGTTCTTGGCTCCGGGAAGTAGGCAACTCTGAACTTGTGCGAGACCACAGGGAGAGCCCCACCTGGCTCACACGACAACCCCTCAACCTGCAACTGATCTCCGGTGGAGCGGTGCCACACAGCCTTCCTGGCCAGGTCCCAGCTCCTCTGTGAGTAGAAGAATTGTCCTTTCTTAAAATGTGAGAGCCCTGCTGTCTGCAAGGCGCTGCCCGCCCCCCCCCCCCCCAGCTCGGGAGTCACTGGGACCTGGAAAGCTGTTTAGTTCCCCAACACCATTCTCCACCCCTGCAAAACAGGGCAGCTCTCAACCTCTCCCCAGAGCAGCGCCCAGAGTAGGGCATCCTACTAGGATCCTAGTAGGATGCCCATCGCCTCCGGCACAAAGACATCCAGCAGCCTCGCTTAGATGGGCGTCGTGTCTGTTGCGCTTTCAGCCTGTGACGACGGTGTCGTCGGGTCCCGCTCGCCCTTCCTGGGACTCCTTTAAGAAGCAAGGCCTCCAGGAAAGCTGCGCCTTCCCTCTGCGGGGTATCCCGCCTCGGTCAATGCGCGCCCGGCCCGACGCAGCAAGGCGAGGTGTGGGTCTCTTAGGGAAAGAGGATCTCGGAAGAAGCGTGCGCACCCCTCAACGGTCTTTATCAGCCTCCCCCCGCCTCCCGCTACAGAATTAGCTCGCCCCTTTGCAGATACTATCTACCCCCCCTCCCCCCATGTAGGATGCTGGCTTGGCTCCGGGGGATCCTAGGCTTGCTGCAAAGTTCAGAAGCCTGGGAGCCCGTTGGCAAGTCTAGCTGTGTTTCCCGGGTTTGGGGGGGCTTCCTTCCCTGGGAATCTGGATTCAGGCTCGTGGCACAGTCTGTCCCGAGCCGTAGAGACCAGGCCTTCGCGCCCCGCCCCGTCTCGCTGGGTTTTGCGCGTGGTTTCGCTCCGGGGTACAGTCAGAGTCGCCCGCCCAGCCCTCCCAGCCCTCCCCCTCCTGGCAGGAGCCCCCCCCCTCCCCCGCTCCTGGCTGCAGGCGAAAGGAAGCCTCGGGAACAGTGTGTGACCCGAGGACAGGGTCCGAAGGCGCGAGCGAACTTCCTCCAAGTGGGGCTCTCCCCTCCCTTTCCCTCCTGGTCAATCTATGACTCAAACCTGACATAAGCCCCTGGCAGACGGTGACGACAAATTCCCGGTGGGGGTGGGGGTGGGGTGGGGGAGGAGAAGGGTGGGGGCAGATGCACCCCACCCTGCCACCGCCACCCCCTCTGCGCCCGGTCCCGGTCCGGGTCCGGGTCCCCGCGGGGCGCTGTGCGGGGACGGCTCCCTCCTCCCCGAGCGCCGGACCCAGCCCCCGGCCCGCCAGCCCCCCTCCCGCCCCTACAGCTCCGGAGCCCCGGGGCCCGTCTGTTTTATTTCATTTAACACGATCCGCGAAGCCAAGGCGGGGTGAGGGGCCGCGCCGGCGAGGAGAGGAAATGAAGGGACTTGGAACAAAGTCCTCCCTGCCAACTCTCTCCGTCTGATTCTTCGAATCCAGGGGTACCTTAAAGGACCGGGGTGCGGGCGAGGAGGGCTATTAATTCCCCAAGCCCGCCCCGTCTCTAGATAGCGGCTCAGTGGCTGCACTTGGCGATCGCGGGGGTGTGCAGAGCGTGGAACTCGTGGCCTCTCTCCAGCGCAGAGGAATCCAGCGAGCCGGTGGCTCCCGCGGAGTTTGCGAGCAGCGCGGAGCCGGCCGGGGGAAGCCAGTGAGCTGTCCATGGTGGTTGAGAGTCCTAGACGTGCGTGTCGGGCGGTCCTGGCGACGCGCGGACCCCCCACGCCGGGGGCCTGCCAGCCACCGAGCCGCTGCGCACCGGGCACGAGGCTGGGTGCGCTCGTTTGCACGACTCCAGGACGCTCTGTCACAGAGGCAGGCACCAGAGATAGACGGAAACCAACTCTGGAGTCCAAATTGTGGGCTTCCTGTTAGCGCCTTCCTGAAGGTGTCTTCCCCCCCTCGGGCAACGTTTAGCTTGCTTCGAGAAACCTTGGTCCATCCAGCAGCCTACTGCTGCCTGCCCTTCCCTGTTCTAAGGTTCCCTCCTCAAATGAAGGAGCGTGATGATCTTGGTAGGCTTCTCCAGGGGAAGCCGGGGAGTATCGCTATGGTGATGTCCACAAAACCACTCTGTTGACTGGGAAACTGCTTCTGGGAGATTGTCGGATGTCTCAGAGCTTTCCTAGGGGGTGGCTGGGGTCCCGTGTAGAGTATTACTGCTCAGAGGACAGACTTCTTTATTATTCACCAGAGCCCTAGAACCCTGTGATTGCCACTCTTAGGAGGAAAGGAGGAAACAGAAAAATTCCCATGGAATATGCGACACTGTAGGTCCATTCTACTGAAGTCGATTTTGCCCAGTTCTTGTGACATATTTGTTAATGAACTCAGTTAAGCTCTTATACATGTGTACGGCAAAGAATGTTTCGCCTTTTTGTCACCACATCTTACCTTTTAATTTCTCTTGTCAGTTCTCACCCCTTAATATAAAAAATAGTGAAAGGGAATAAAGGGGAAAGGAGAAAAAATGAGTGGGAAATACCAGAAAGGGAGACAGAACATGAGAGACTCCTAACTCTGGGAAACGAACTAGGGAAGGGGAGGTGGGCGGGGGTGGGTTGGGGTGGGGGTGACTGGGTGACGGGCACTGAGGTGGGCACTTGACGGGCTGAGCACTGGGTGTTATTCAATATGTTGGCAAATTGAACACCAATAAAAAATAAATTTATAAAAAAAATTCTCACCCCTTATCTCTATTAGCCATTCCATTTTCATCTGAATAACAAATTCCCTTAAATACTAAGGAAAATTTAAAAATATATGTTGTAAACATTTATAGCTTTTATTTGAATTTTGTGCCTTTATTTATGAGGGCACATCTAATTAGCATCCAGTACATAACAGATCCTTTTATATATTTCTGTATAAATCAGAAGATATCAGTTTGGAAAACATTACTTGTTTTTACCCTTCTTTCTTATGGTGGTGCGGTACTTAAAAAAAGAGAGAGTGTGTATGTGCTGATAAACCACCTTGAGAATGCCTAATTTAAAATAGAAAGTGTGATGATTCAGTACTTTTTCATAGCTTTTCTCTCAGTTTCTGGATCTACAAAAATAAAATAATGAAGAAAGTGGAGTCTTTCTATATATTCTTCCAAGTATTTTCCCAAGTCCATAAAATTGATATAAAGCCTTTACTTTCCCTTTTTCTATCAAAATGAATGAAATAAGACTTAAATGTGTACCCAGTTCCTTGAAAATTATGAAAC